AAATTCGGACTACTGCACATTCATTCTTTAGAATTTTTTGCTGCAGTAATTTTGACCCACAATGCATCACTTAGTAAAGTTGCGTTCTCGCGAGAATGACGGCAAATGTTCAACAAAAAGTTTACTCGCCTTGATTACATGTAAATGGATACGTATTGAAGATAAATAGTAAACGTAACTTTTTTCATTAACTTTCAGCACTGTTCAGTTTTTTCTTAGTATTTCTAACTTACATACGACATCATGTGACGTCAGAGTCTAGACGCACCAAATGTCACGTGCGGTTTGACGAGCCCGGTCTAAATTAAAACAATAGAAGAGTTTGCGCTTACTCTAATGGTCGTACCGTCAACATAATAATTTAACCGCTTTGGTAAGGTACTTTTAAACGTTTTAGCACACCTGAGCTGAAAGCTATGGACCCTTTTCCTATGACATATTTTCCCTAGGAGTTAATCCCCTTAGCCTCCATCTTGTCGGGCAAACTTGAGAATTTACCTCTTTGAGCAACCAATTTTAAATATGCATGCAAGAAATATATGGGTGAAAATATTTACAATCTTAAAGTTATGAATTAATAGAGGCTTTGACAAATGTATATGCATAAGAAAAATAGTGTTATCTTTACCTCAGTAACCAGTACATGTATCAAATTGAACTTGACAGGGTTTTTTTCTATAGTCTTAAAAACAAGGGCCTGGGCCTTTCCATTTGGGAAAAATAGCGACATTTCGTTGAAATTGGGAAAGATTTCATATTTAACATTTTTCTATATGACTTCAAATAAGAGAGTTTTTTTCCCATTTGCAAGGTATTTCTTTGACTTATTTTAAATTCAGTCAATTATTTTTTGGAGAATGCCTTTTAGATTTTTATCTAGAACAACATTTTTAATATACATATTACTGAATTAGGACATTTTTAACCAATTTGTATGTTTCAATTCTCTTTTGGGAATTTTCTTTAATAAAATTGGGAAAAACACATACTTTTTACCATTGGGAATGGGGCCTTATACAAGCCCCCTTATGACCCCTAAAAAACCCTGAAATTTGGTTGAATAATGAGGGGATAAGGATATGCTGCCCTACAATATGGCGGCTAGGGGGAATAACTCCTAGATAAAATATGTCATAGGAAAAGGGTCTATTCTGCTCACCCGTTGACCGCCCTCTGTCCATCTGTTTTTCAACTTTTCACATTTTCAACTTCATTTCAAGAGCCAATTGGCCAAATTCAACTTAACTTGGTAGATATATACCATCCCTGAGTGAAGGGGATTTTAAATATGTTCAAAAAGAAGGACCAAGCCTCGTTATAAGAGGAGATAATCAATAAAAGGCAAAAATATGGTGAGGTGATATAAAAAATCTTCTCAGGAACCAGTTGACCAGAAAAGCTGAAAAATATATGGCAGCAATCTGGGGTAGTACAGATTTTAAATTAAAAAAAAAATTGACCCCCAAGGTTAGGCAGGGATTTATCAGTACCTTCTCAGGGGCCGAAAGTCGGCCCCATTCCCAATTGAATATGAGTTCAATTTTTCCCAATTTGGCAGGATTTTTTCCCAATTACAGAACAATGCTTTTTTAAAATTATCCTTGGAAAAACACAAAGTTAATTTGTCAGATTGTCTGTAATTTTCTTCAGTATAGCTCATTTAGCTAAGCAACAGTTGTAACACATGTTTTAAAAACATCGCCAACTTTTAATCCGAATTTCCTCAGTTTTTTTCTGAAGTAGTGATATTATGTATTTCTATAGGTTTATTAACTCATTTCACTTGCTCAATTGATCTACGAGTGAATGGTAAGAACAGCAGGCACTATTTCAGAAAGAAAAATGCATTTTCAGTGCATATTTTAGAAAATATGAATTATTATAAATTATTTTGTGGGGGGGGGGTTATTATATTTCCCCAGGGACTTAAGTTCCCTGATCTCCCATTACCTAAATTGGAATCTCATACAGAAATAAACTATCCTAAGGTGTATAAGATGAATACTCATTGAATTCAAATTTACATTTATTAGTATATTTTTCATAATTGACCTCGTATGATGAAGTTGAATCATATTTAATTGTTTGTTAATTGGTAGCCCAAATTACAGCTGTAAATAAATTGAACCTGAGTAGTGAATACAGCAAAAACATTCATTTTTCCCAATTTCATCAAAAAGCCGATAACTTTTTCCGAATTTCCAAAAAATGGCGTTTCCCAAAATAAGCTGATAAATCCCTGTTAGGGTTGGGCCAAAATAGGTGTTATCAGCATGAAATCAAGGGATGGACAGCATGGCCAAAGTGACATAGGTAAGCGTTGTAGCTTATGGGCCTTTTGTTAAAACTTAAGAATGGGAGGGGGGTCTTTGTTGGAAAATCGTTTGATTAGTACAATTTATTTTTCCAACTTAATTAAATCAGTCTTTCATTAAAATTCACTTTGTGCGGACAATGTAATTTTTTTCAGCAATATCGTGGTTATGACTGTATTTGATGTTAACCATAAAAAAAAACTATAGGTACTGTGAGCAATGAGCTCACGAAAATATACCCCTGCCTTAAAGCTTCTGTATGAATATAATGTTTTTCTATGGGAAACCCCAAATACATGTATGTATCGGATCAAAAAGAAAAAATTGGAAGTGCACAATGACATCGTCTTAAGCCACGGTTCAGAGTCCGCATATAGCTCTCTCTTACCCATGGCTGCTTGATCACAAAAATGTCATACTCTTGAATATTTACGCCTCCCTATTGTGACGTCATATTCAGTCAGTGGCAAGTTTTGTTTCCATCGCAATTGAAATCAACAACTGACGTCAACAGTATACAAGAAATTTTTCCTATACTGCGATTGGATATTGAAAGGTCGCGGTAAAGTTCATCATCCGACTATGCTTCACTCGCATTGGTCAATATTTTAATGAGCTACGAAGAATTCTGTACTCGTTCAACCACGGCCAGAATGGGAGAGGATCGTACATTTTGGCCGTGGTTTGCGACGATGGCACAATGACAATATGTAATGAAAATTCTGTGAATGTTTAATCAAATTTCATTAAGTGGTATGAGTGGAGTTGCAGATAAGAGATGGGTACCCCAAAGCGTAACAGATGGACGGACAGAGGGATGGACATACCGTACTATATACCAGACAGTTTTTTAAGGGGTATAATGAAGGAAATTGATACGAGTAGCCTTTGTACTTGAATACAAGTAGCCTGGAAAAATAACAGATTTGAACTAGTTATAAGCAATGAAATAAAATTTATGTATGTAATTTTTTTGCCATGGTGATATTTACATCATAGCATCAACAAATCTTTAGGGAGTGTTGATTTAAGAGAGTAATTTTCGAATAATGCCTCAGGGGTAGGGTGGGGCCACAATGAATAAACAAAGTTTTGCATACTGCATTAGTAGGTAAATAAAGCAAAAATCTTTAAAAGTCTTCTTCTGAAGAATTGCAAAGCTATGATAGGTCTTATTTATATGGAAGCATCCTCAGGTAGTGTTCAAATCATGACCCCTGGGGATAGGACGGGGCCACACACACTTGTTTCAGAAATAAATTTTTAACCCGTCATATGATAGCACAAGGTTGGCCCCTATCTAATTCCAAATTACATGGAGTACCCCCCTCCCCAGAAATCCACTCATCTACACTTGTATGGAATGAAAAACAAGGGAAATCTCTATACACCCTTGATTGGAACATAACAATTTTCTTTCCTATGTCCACCCAACATATTTTGTAAACCTACCAGTACAATTACCTGTGTTTCAACCTATCGATCGGATTTATTAGGTGCAGCATGACGTCATGTTATTTGTTTTTTTATCATCGAGAAACTATGAATTGTGATGTCAACTCTGTTCTTTAACCCCTGCTGAAGTCGGTGTATGTAAATTTACACCCGGATCGCTAACCAATCAAATCTTGTATTACATAATAATTCCAATCTTCATTTAATTTATTTATTATTCCTTGGTTTTGATTTGACGAGAACACGTTTAAGAAAAAGTTTACACATCGATAAATTTTTCAATCAGAACTACTTTCTTGAACAAGCTTCTAGGCTATCATATAAACAATGAAAGCAGTTAGTTACATGTATACCCCCGGCAAACGAAGTTAGGGGGAGGGGTATATAGGAATCACCTTGTCCGTCTGTCTAGCTGTCTGTCCGTCTGTAAACTTTTCACATTTTCGACTTCTTCTCAAGAACCACTAGCTAGGCCAATTTTGACCAAACTTGATACAAAGCATCCTTGGGTAAAGGGGAATTTAAATTTTTTGAAATAAAGGACCAAGTCCCCTCACAAGGGGAGATAATCAAGAAAAGACTAAATTAGGGTGGGGTCATTAAAAAATCTTCTTCTCAAGAACCACTGGGCCATCCTGGGGCAGTGTAGTTTCTAAATTGTACAAATCATGACCCCCAGGAGTAGGACGGGCCACAATGGGGAATCAAAGTTTTATATAGAAATATATAGGAAAAATATTTGAAAATCTTCTTCTCAAGAAACCACTGGGCCAGAAAAGCTGAAATTTATGTCGAAGCATATCCTGGGGCAGTGTAGTTTCTAAATTGTTCTAATCATGACCCCTGGGGGTAGGGTGGGGCCACAATGGGGAATCAATTTTTACATAGAAATATATAGGAAAAATCTTTGAAAATCTTCTTCTCAAGAACCACTGGCCAGAAAAGCTGAAACTTATGTGCACATGGAAGCATCCTGGGGTAGTGTAGATTTCAATATGTCTAAATTATGATCAGTGGGGTAGGGTAGGGTTGCATTATGAATTACAAGGGGGAAAGAACAGAATGGTCAAAGCTTCTCAGGTGAGCGATGTGGCCCATGGGCCTCTTGTTTAGTTTGTGAGTAAAATGTCAAGAGTTTACACATTGATAAATTTTTCAGAAAGAATGTTTAATCCTATAATACAAGCTAGATAAGAAGTAAAGGTTAATGTTTCAAATTTATTTTGACAGATTCCCAAGGATGTGCCTGAGCCATTGTTAAGAGGACGCCGAAATCACCACCATGCAGGTTTTATATTTCATTCACTTTGGCACTGCTATATATGGTCAAACACTGCAGCATTGATCAAATTTATTGACATATTGATAAGGGAAATAACTCCATTGTCTATCTTTTCCAAGTAGAAAATTGAGTTATTCCCCTTTTCATACATGCTAAAAATACAGTTTTTGAAGCTCAAGTGAACTGTTCTGATCACATTTTTATGCCCCCGTAAGCGAAGTTTCGGGGGTATATAGTTTTTGTCATGTTCTTCCGTCTATCTAGCTGACTCTCTGTCTGTCAGTCTGTCTCTCTGTCTGCTTGTTTGTCTGCAACTTTAACCTTGCCCATAACTTTTGATTTAGTGGAGCCATGACTTTCATATTTCACATGTGTATTCCTTGTGACAAGACCTTTCTTTGGGTACCACCAGATTTGACCTTTTGACCTTGACCTTGGAGTTTGACCCACTTTTACATGAAAATTTTAAACTTTTACTTTGGCCAAATCTTTTGAACAGTAGATACCAGGCCATTTATACTTCACATACCCTAAAATCTTGAAAATAAGACGGATTTAATAATAAGCCGGTTTTGAAAATAAGCCACCTATTTCTTGCATTAATAATTACTCGAAAATAAGCCTGTTTTGAAAATAAGCCGGTCATGACAATGCCTAAATTGAACACAGTATCAGTTTAATTATTTTATTATAAATATTCCATGACATGACATTAAATTATGATTCGATTCAAAATTCAAAATAAAATGTTTACAACCATAATAAAAGCATAAAAACTCAATCAAAGTCCAATATTTTGATTAAAAATTATTGTTTTAGTTAGAATACCATGCGTAGCCTTAAAACCATAAAAATTCAAAGTCCACTATTTTGATAAAAACATTGTTTTAGTAAGAATACTATGCGCAGAATATTATGTCTAAAACTATAAAATACAGGCTGTAGTGAAACTGTCACACTCTGAATTTTAGCTCAGCTAGTGGAATGTCCTCATCTGAATCACTTTCACAGTTTTTGTTCAAAATAAAACAGCCAACTTCAGTGTCTTCAGGCCCCTCTTTCTCTGGCTCAAACGTATAGTTCTCTATGCCCTGGAAGTGAATAAGATGATCCTCGCTGCCATCTGTTTTGTTCGAAATACCACAGCTTTTAAAGCACTTGACCACCGCGTCAGTTTGCTCCTTGCAGGTTTCTGACCAGGCTTCCCCTACCCATTTAGTCATAAGGATTCGCCTACAATTTAAATAAATTACATTCAAATCATTAACTAAATGTGTTTTTGAATTGTTACGATACCGGTATCTACATACTTAAGGTAAAATGCACAGCCTTAAAACAGGTGTGAAAAACTATTCAATGTAAAAACAACACAGAGCTAACGTTTAATTAATAACCTTTCTGAAGCTGTGAAAGTGCCCTCAAGCCATTGTTTTCTGTTTGCGTGCACATGCTTGTCCGTTATTTCCTCAATCTTTTTCTTCAATGGAGCGTGGAACACTCTATCAAGGGGTTGAAGTTCGCTTGTACATCCGCCTGGAATTAGCGCTAACATTGTGCCGATCTCTCGGAACTTTGATTTTACTGTTTCCGTATTTTTCGCTCTGTGTACATCGGCGACTAACATTGTTGGTTTGTACTGGTTTGCTAGAGGTTTCCACATATTATTAATCCAAAACAACATAATTTGCTCGTCACACCATGCATTTTGTTGAAATTGAACCACAACGCGACTATCGTACTTCACTTTTTCACTGAACGGAATTCGCTGGCCTGTTCCCCTGAATATAACGAGCGGCTTTATGCGTTTGACACCATCCGAGAAAATACAACATTGTAATGTAGCCTGTCTGTAATCAAGTCCGGATTTTTTTGTTCTGCACCATACTTTAGTAGCACCAGTTGTTTCATACGTTTTCCCCTTATTTAGATCAAACGGGAGTGGAGATTGATCCATGTTGGCAACTAAATTAAAGCGACCATTAGGGTCGGTGCAGTCTCTGCTTGCATTTTTTCGGATAAATTTATGGAAACTGTTGAAGGCTTCAATTTTAGCGTCTGGTGGATTTTGAGCTCCACTGGTTGGTGCTCGATACGATATATTGTGCCGTTTTTAGCTCACCTGAGCCGAAGGCTCAAGTGAGCTTTTCTGATCAAAATTTGTCCGTCGTCTGTCGTTGTCGTCGTTGTCGTCGTTGTCGTTGTCGTTGTTGTCGTAAACTTTTCACATTTTCATCTTCTTCTCAAGAACCACTGGGCCGATTTCAACCAAACTTGGCACAAAGTATTCTTGGGTGAAGGGGATTCAAGTTTGTTCAAATGAAGGGCCACGCCCTTTTCCAAGGGGAGATAATCATAAATTAGTTAAAAATTAACGGCATTTTAAAAAAAATCTTCTTCTCCAGAACCGATGGGCTAAGAAAGATGAAACTCATGTGAAAGCATCCTCAGGTAGTGTAGATTCAAGTTTGTTCAAATCATGACCCCCGGGGCAAGGGTGGGGCCAAAATTGCCGAACCTAGTTTTACATAGGAATATATAAGAATTTTTTTTAAAAATCTTCTTCTCAAGAACCACTAGCACAGGAAAAATGAAACTCATGTGGAAGCATCCTCAGGTAGTGTAGATTCAAGTTTGTTCAAATCATGACCCCCGGGGGTAGGGTTGGGCCAAAATGGCTGACCCAAATTTTACATAGGAATATATAAGAAAAATATTTTAAAATCTTCTCCAGAACCACTGGGCCAGGAAAGATGAAACTCATGTGGAAGCATCCTCAGGTAGTGTATATTCAAGTTTGTTCAAATCATGACCCCCGGGGCAAGGATGGGGCCAAAATGGCCCACCCAAATTTTGCATAGGAATATATAGGAAAAATCTTTAAAAATCTTCTTCTCCAGAACCACTGGGCCAGGAAAGATGAAACTCATGTGGAATCATCCTCAGGTAGTGTAGATTCAAGTTTGTTCAAATCATGACCCCCGGGGCAAGGGTGGGGCCAAAATGGCCGACCCAAGTTTTACATAGGAATATATAGGAAATATCTTTAAAAATCCTTCTGAAGATCCACTGGGCCAGGAAAGATGAAACTCATGTGGAATCATCCTCAGGTAGTGTAGATTCAAGTTTGTTCAAATCATGACCCCCGTGGTTAGGGTGGGGCAAAATGGCCGACCCAAGTTTTACATAAGGATTTATAGGGAAACCTTTTAAAATCTTCTTTTCAAGTACTTCAAAGCTATGATTTTTGATATTTATATGGAATCATCCTCAGGTAGTGTAGATTCTAGTTTGTTCAAAAGGCCTGGAGGGGGGGAGTAAATTCAAGCCCGATTTGCTCAGGTGAGCGCTGTGGCCCCTGGGCCTCTTGTTTGAAATTGTTAAACCAGCCGCTACTGCATTTGAAGTCAGAATCTGCAAGTTCAGCTGCACGGGATTTGAACCACCATGATTTGGCCTTAAGTCCGTCCTCCCGAATTTCTTTGAATTCACGATGTAGTTGTCTTTCCATTTCAGGATAAAGCGATTTCCGTCCCGAGCCGTGCGATTTCGAACCTTTTGGAGTTTCTTGTAGTTTTATTTCGGACTTAATCCATCGCCGCACATTGCTTTCATCAATTCCAAAAAACTTAGCGGTTTCGATGATACGGTTTTTTGTATTCCCAAGTGACAGTTCTTTATAATGTTCTACAACCCGAAGTTTGAATTCTCGGTTATAACTTTTCCTAGGAGTCGGAGTGCGACTACCACTCTCCATTGTTAAAAGCTCACTGTTTTAAAAAATGAAAAACGGGCGCCCAATATATTAGGCCTTTGAACACTTTTCATTTAATTGTTTACCTGAGTTTACCTGGATAATCTATTTTTAGAACGAATAGGTTGATTTCAATCTATCGATTACAATTTATTGTATTGATAATAAGCCTTGATTATGCTCTCACCGCTTACCAGATTTTTGTACTGATAATAAGCCGCGATTTGAAAATAAGACGGTTTTGAAAATAAGCCCCCACTTTCTTACCAAAACTTAAAATAAGCCGCGGCTTATTTTCAAGATTTTAGGGTATGTAATCTTTGTTGAAAGACCTTTCATTGGATACCAACATCCTTGACCCTTTGACATTGACCTTGTAGATTTCTGTTCTTGTGAAAAAACTTTAACCTTGGCCATGACTTTTGAACAGTAAGGTATAGGGCTTTCATACTTCATACATTTAATCCTTGTGAAAAGACCCTTCATTGGATACCAAGAACTTTGACCCTTTGACCTTGACCTTTGAGATTGACCTACTTTAAATAAGTAAACCTTGACCATAACTTTTAAAGGGTTAGGGCTAGTGCTTTTATACTTTACATATTTTATCCTTGTGACAACACCTTTCATTTCATAACAAAAACCTTGACCCTTTGACCTTGACTGTGAAGTTTGACCTACTTTTTTAAAAACTTGAACCTTGGCCATAACTTCTGAACTTTTAGGGCTAGGGCTTTCGTGCTCTACATAAGTATTCTTTGTGGCAAGACCTTTCATTTGATACCAAATTACATTGACCTTTTGACCTTGACCTTGGAAAAAAAACTTTAACATTGGCTTACTTTCAAATTTCACAATTGTTTTCCAGTGAGAATACTCTACTTATTGTACCAATTAATTAAATTTGCATTTAAGAAAAGTTTAATGTTTGATATGTTAAATTGCCGTACAGGGGCATCAGTGTTTCACAAACACATCTTGTTTAATTTAAGAAAATATAATTTATTTTCACATAATTAAATGAAAGAAAGTAGAAATATGTTTTTGTAAGAATGATAAATATTTATGTCCCTTGTTTTCTTTTTTTCACTGACTAGGACAAAGAAGCAAGATGAAAAGAAACAAACTTGTGGTTACCAGATACCAGAAATTGATGTGGTAAACATTTCTCTGTTACTTTATATAACTGTTAAAAAAAACTTTAGGTCATGCTTTAAAGGTACTTGGACACAGATTTGAAGTTAATTTTTTCTCTATAATATTACAACTTATATATTTTAAGAGCATTTCACACAAAAATTGATTAAAAATCTTATTTAATTTAAAAGTTATTACAATTTTAAAGTTTTTGGCGTGTTTGATTGACACATTCCTGCACTTTCACAAAGTTTAACTTTATTCTTAATCCTTTGGAAAAGTGGCAATCTTGTTGTGTATTAATGAAAAATATTAATACTTTAATCTAGAAAATTCAGAGTAGACATGTTCGAAAGCAAAACAAACACACAATATATTGTCAGTCTGTGCAGTTGTGGTGAGCAGACTTTGGGGATTAAACCCGGTGAATTGTAAACATCAAACAATAACAGGCTCTTGCCTTGTTTACAAAAAATGTGTACATAACACGAGTGTGCTAGATTTGCAAAACTTTGTACATAACGGAATGACGATACTTTTGAAGGAGTTTAGCTTTCTAATATTTCTACTCTGAAAAAAAATTATATTTCTGGATTTAAGTTTTAGTATTTCTCATTGATACACAACAAGATTGCCACTTTTCCTAAGGATTAAGAAAAAGGTAAAATGTGTGAAAATGCAAGAATCAAACCTGCCAAAAAATTTAAAGTTTTGAGAACTTTTAAATGAAACAAGATTTTTAATTAATTTTTGTGTGAAATGCTATAAAAATATATAATTTGTGATATTATACAGAAAAAATTAACTTCAAAGCTGTGTCCAAGTACCTTTAATACAGAGTGTATCATATTCTCTTTTCATTAAGAACATCAAGATTGAATGCTTCACAACCTTGTAAAATATATATTTAAAAAAAAAAAAAATCGGTGTTTATAATGGTAATTTTTTTGTAAATGATAAAATTGACTCACTAAAGGTAAATACAATGTCCATGATGTCTAGTGATTTTATTTTGTTACCTAAAAAGTTCTCCAGCATTTCACAATTTATAATTATGTGTTTTAATTAATAAATACTGCTTTGTTAAACAGGTTTGATTGAGAACACTTGGAGGCTGTTATAATTTGAGACAAAGCATTGAGTACTTAGTGTAAAGGTATAATGTTTATCTGGGTATTAATTCTTTTCTTCATGTTCTTTTCTATAAGTTTATAAAACCAAGGCATGAGTATATTTGAGTATTAGGGCTGGGTATTGACCCGAGATTTCGTATTGCGATATATTGCGATATTTTTAACTGTATTGCAATATGTATTGCAATATTTTCAACGTAATAAAAATGGTGTTTTCTTACTATATTTACTTTAATTTACATGCAGAATGTACATAACTATATGATACATTGTAAGTAACCAACACGGGGAAAAAATCCTGTTGATTTCATTTAAGTTATCCTCAGAAATGTTCCCACAAACAACTTCTGTCTTACTGTTTGGCTTAATAACAAACTTTCATTAGTCCATTTCTATATTTAATGACAAAATTCCTTAATCTAAGCATATTGCCAATATATCGATATTTCAAAATCGTATTGCGATACGATATTTTTTGTCAGTGAATTGCAATATATTGAAATATCGATATTATTGCCCAGCCCTATTGAGTATAAATGAGTATGTTATGAAGAGAGCCCTCTTATTGATGTACCAAGGCATTGTTAAATGTGTACAGTATATTATAAACAGAGCCCTGTTATTGATGTACCAAGGCATTGTTAAATGTGTACAGTATATTATAAACAGACCCCTCTTATTGATGTACCAAGGCATTGTTAAATGTATACAGTATAAACAGACCCCTGTTATTGATGTAGATAATTATAATACAGTGTTGTCATTTACAGAAGGAAATCAACACAGGATTATAAAGTCACAGGATGAAGATGAAATAGATCTGTAGTGTCAGTGATGTATAGATTGGTGTTACAGAAATCTATCACAGTGCCAGGTGTTAGTAAGTGTAAACACATTACCCACGTGACATCAGACCGGGTCTGGATCAGTGATAGAGAAGGCAATCTCATACTGACAAACACCGCGGGTAAAAAACTACATCATGTGAAAGATTTAAGTGAATCTGGTGGTGGACTACATACTGTGACTGGCGAGGGTTATTTAATTTATATAGACAGACACCATAACATCATTAAACTATCTAAAGATCACAGAATAAAGACCACAGTAATACCTTACACTTCACCATGGAGACCACTGAGTGTCTACAGCTCCCCCTCCACTGGAGACCTGCTGGTCGGGATGTATGATTATGATACAGAGACAGGCCAGGTAAAGCGTTACACTAACACAGGAGAACACATACAGACCATACAGCACGACAACACAGGTCAGAGACTGTATAGTGTACCTATCTATATCACAGAGAACCGCAATGGAGATGTTATTGTGTCTGACTATTACCGTAATGCTGTAGTGGTGACAGACAGTAGAGGGAGACATCGCTTCTCCTACACAGGTCCTCCACCAGGATCACGACTAAATCCACGTGGAATCTGTACTGACGCGCTGTCACACATCCTGGTGTGTGATTGGTACACCCACACAGTACATATACTGGATTGTGACGGGCGACTCCTGTCACTGATAGACAGAGAACAACTCGGGATAGTCGGACCATGCGGCCTGAGTTATGACGACAGAACTCACTGTGTCTGGATCGGATCATACAACAACAACACAGTGAACATACACAGACTTATACCCGGGGACTCCCTTACTGGTAAGTAGTACATTAATATGATTAGGTGTTTTGTTTTACAATGTTTAGTGTGTACAATGTATTATTTTCAGTGTTTTATATGTATTTACAAGACATTAATCAACATTTTTATTGTATTAAGTGTAATTAAATTACATAAGTAATTCTAATATAACTTAATTGTTGCATTAAATACATGTAAGTAACAAGAATTATTACTAATATGAGGATACATAGATTTTAGACTGTAATTTATCACATGATAACTAAAGTAAATACTTTTAGGATAAAAAGCTTATTATTTGATAAGTTAAGAGTTCTTTAATGTGTACTTGGTGTAGTTATAACTTTGTTATGTTTAACAAACTACTGATTTTGTTAAGTGCGTTTGAAAGGAAGTAAATTGAATGTAAAGTCGGCATTTTGTACAATTCATAACAATCAACATGTTTTCTGTAGAGCTCTTAAACCTACTATCACAGTTAAAATATCACAGTAACAAAATTAAACATAATTAAGCACGCAAAAACACATTTGTGTTCTTATATTACCCATAGTAGATTTATAAGATAATCTTGGAAACAGCCCAGTGATTTTTATAAAAATTATTATTCACTTTGTTTTCATAAAAAGGAGAAAAATAAATAAATAAAAAGTGATGATAAAACTCATAATAATGAATTAAATGAAACACTATGTCAGACATAGGGACATAAGGGACAGGTTGTTTTTATAGTAGAAAGTATAGTAGAGTTGACATAGACTGTCGTACATCACCATTAAATTGTGATTCATGCTAAAATCGAAAATATTATACAATTATGTTACAATTAATTCAGACAAGAGAAAATCAATCCTTTTGATAACAAATCAAAGTTCAGTATCTGATAGTCTTAAACAGTTCAACCATAAGCTATGATCACATTCAATGTGTAATCTTCTCTCTCTGGCTGATGATATACAATGACTCCTCTACTGGGTTGACATTTTATTGTCTACTTCTACATGTAACAGAGTAAATCAGTACCAGTCCAGTTTTCTGGTTTGTAAGTTAAATTTAGCAGGAAATAGGGGCTGTACAGTTGTAAAATGGGTGGATTAGAGGGGGGTGGGGTGGGTTACAGGTGTAATACAGGTGGATTGGGGGTGCGGGTATTGCAGATCAGGGATGTGGAGGGGGCAATGTCATAGTTGATATATGGTTCTTTTAACATTCCATTCAAACAAAATTCAATCGTGGTGCATGACTAAAATATTTTACCAATTTTCAATAGATGACATTTTGTACAAGTTGACAGCGATATAGACACCATTGATATTAACACAGCTTCTGCCTAGGAATGTTGTGTATTTCTGTAGCAGGTGTTTAGAAAATCTACACTTTGCACTGGGTTGACAAATTTTACATGTATATGATGTATATTAATTTTATTTTTTGCCAATTGAAAATAAAAATAAAGCCAAATTTGAGAATTAAATTTTAAATATTGTACCAACACTCTAATAAAGAAGAGATGATATTATTGTTTTACCCTTCAGGCCTTGTGTGTCTGTCTGTCAGGATGTGTCTGTCAGTCTGAAACAATTTTTTTTCACCTTTTTTACCCAATAACTTTTCGTTGCAGGTGCTTAAAATTTAAGCACTCTCTTTGTTTTTGCATGCCACATGTTGGGATTCATCTTTAAGAATGTGATGCCAACTTCCTGTTTATTCATGTGTCTGTCTGTACCATATATATAACACAGATTTTCATCACATTTTTTTCAACAATAATGTCTACTCATTGAAGATGCTTCAAAGTGTAGCACACTCTTTGTTTAGGCATGTCATATGATGGGATTTTTAGCTCACCTGAGCCGTAGGCTCAAGTGAGCTTTTCTGATCACATTTTGTCCGGCGTCCGTCTGTCCATCTGTCTGTCCGTCTGTCTGTAATCTTTTCACATTTTCGACTTCTTCTCAAGAACCGCTGGGCCAATTTCAACCAAACTTGCCACAAAGCATCCTTGGGTGAAGGGGATTCAAGTTTGTTCAAATGAAGGGACAAGCTCTCATTCAAGAGGAGATAATTGGGAATTAATGAAAATTTGGTAGTATACTTTAAAAATCTTCTTCTAAAGAACCACTGTGCCAGGAAAGCTGAAACTTATGTGGAAGCATCCTGGGGTAGTGTAAATTCAAGTTTGTTCAAATCATGACCCCCAGGGGTAGGGCTGGGCCACAATGGCCGACCAAAGTTTTACATAGAAATATATAGGATAATTCTTAAAAAATCTTCTTGTCAAGAATGACAAAGCCATAATTCAGCATATTTATATGAAAGCATCCTCAGGTAGTGTAGATTCAAGTTTGTTCAAATCATGACCCCCGGGGGTAAGGCGGGGCCAAAATGACCGACCAAAATTTTACATAGAAATATATAGGAAAGGCTCAAACCAAAGGCTCAAGTGAGCTTTTCTGATCAAAATTTGTCCGTCGTCTGGAAGCATTATATTAATTCTCAAGAAGTGAAGATTCAAGTTTCTGCAAATCATACCCTCTCACCTTTAAGGAATGGTTGGGACTACTTTTGGTAGGGGTGGGACGATATACCGCAGGCCTTTCAAAATCTGCCGGTACCCGGTACTTTTACCCGGTTGGATTCGTTCATGGTACCGGCCAAAATATTCAGTGGAGAAAAAAATCGCGTAAAAATACGATAGACCCTACCATATATTTACACAAGTTGTTACGTAGCTTTGTATTATTGTTAGTCCGTAATGGTATCTTATAACGTTTTTGATTGGTTAGTCAGGAAGATCATTAAAGCGTTTGAATAAATGAAACAAAAGAGATTGCGTAACGCGTCTTGTAGATCTTGTCGAAAACGAAAGTAGATTTCGATCCGTCAAATTACTCTGTCACTGATTTTGAAAAAAGCTAATGACTCTGGATATATTTTAAATAAATACGGCCAAAAAAATTAAAAATAGGAATCCAGGTGTCAGAAATGAAAGTGTCAATTTAAAGCCATGGTAATGCGTTTCACAAAAGATTTTAAGATACAAGGAACTTCTCTGAACACAATTGACAACTATTTGTTTAGAAACCGACATGAACAATAGGTAGTTCTTTGACCACCTCTGTACATTTTAATAGCCTCAACTCTTCAAATTTAAGTGTCAAAACCCGCAAAGATATAAATTACTTAATGTATAAATATTTGTTGATTTGATGTAACAAAAGGACATAAAACAGAAACTATTTCTTTATCCATACATTTAATTCTTTCTTCCCAGTATTGTAACCATATCCAGTAAAGTGAGGGAGTCATATCTATTTTTTTTTGTCTCCAGATTGATGTCATCTTTGTGTAATTTACACGTATGTATATTATTTTATATGTACATGTACCAGTGCATGAAAAATATGCTGAATTTATTGGTACATGCTATGCATCATGTAGTGCTTCTTCTAATTTTTTTTTAAATCTGTAGAACAGAAATGAATTTCATTTAATGCAAATACAATTTCATTTCTCTTTTATTAAATTTAAATTTTGAATTTCCATTTCCTTTCGTATATATTTATATTTAAAACATACCATTTACAACTCAAACCTTGCAAAATTTTTTGAACAAATTTATATAAACAAATATAGCATAGAACTTAGAAGTTTTACCTAAATCTTATTGCTACTCTGCTCAAATAACTAATTTTTCTATGTAATTCCATCCATCCAGTGCTAAACTTCACATGTAATGTGTATTGACCAAAAAAAAAAACTTGGAAACATGGCATAAAAATAACACTGATAGCAGCATACTTCTTTGTGTCCAGAAACCAGGAAATGCTGTCTGGTGGCTTCTAAATTTCAAAATTTTTCCGGGGGGGCATGCCCCCGGACCCCCCTAGCAGGCTCACGCCTTCGGCGTTCGCGGAGTGGTACCTCCTATTTTTGATAAAGTACCACCTGGCTCAAATCTTTTTGAAAGCCCTGTATACCTATACACCGATACATACCGATATTTTCCTCCAAGATACGGTTTACAATACAAGTATTCAAATATCGGTACGAAACGATACACGAATGACCTATTCAAAAATTTAAAATGAAAGTACTTGTCTCCTTGGAAAATGGCTGCTTGTACGAAGCGAAGAAATGATGTTGATATTGAAAACACACTTTAGAACTAATAAGGGGTAAAACGTTTTCACTTTTAAGCAGGCTCGGGAGATTGGACAAGAAAAGCTCAGTACGAAATGCGTTCTGTACACAAAAAATATCGTTTCCAGAACATTTGATATTATAAATTGTTAGTCCACCTCGTTCTTTTTTTTGTAATCTCAACTTTGCGACACACTTTCAGCAATGAATTGATAATAATGTAAACATGATAGATGTTTTTCAATGAATTTTTAGTCAGTGTTCTCTGATGAACTACACAACTATTTGTTTACAAATTCTAATAGTAATAATAGTATGTACGTGTATTATTGTTTTGTAAAGTTTTAGTCAATGAAATTGATGAACTTCAAGTATTAATTTCAAAGCAAAGTTAACATGATTTGATATAGAATAATTTGTTGATTTCATGTCAAGACAAAAAAAAATAAAATACTTATTCTTTGGAATAGTTTTATAATTTATCATAATATCGAGATACGTATCGTAAAATCGTGCCAATATATCAAGATACGTATCGTATCGCAAGATGTGTGTATCGTCCCACCCCTAACTTTTGGGTTTAAACTTTTCAACAATAAACTATTTTATGCTAGCCACAGTGCTCAGGTGACCAATGTGGCCCATGGGCCTCTTGTCTAATCACATTTTTGTCTGTTGTCCATCTGTCCCTCCGTCAGTCTGTAAACTTTTCACATTTTCAACTTCTTCTAAAGAACCATTTGGCCAGTTTTAACCAAATGTGGTACAAAACATCCTTGGGTTCAGGGGAGTCTATATTGTTTAAAATGAAGGACCGAGTCTCCTCACAAGGGGTAATAATCAAGAAAAGACCAAAATAAAGAGGGGTCATTAA